CTAAAGAGATTCTGCACAGCAAAAGAAATTACCAACAGAATTAACCAACAGCCTACAAAATGGGAGAAAATATGTGCAAACTGTGTACCTCACAAAGATCTAATATCCAGAATCTACTAATATCCAGAATCTACAAGGAGCTTAAACAAATTAAGCAAAACCAATTAAAAAATGTGCAAAGTACACAATCAGACACTTATCAAAAGATGTACAAGGGCCAAAAAAAATGAGCAAATGCTCAATATCATTAATCATCAGAGAAATGCAAATCAAAGCCACTTGAAAGAGATATACCATCTCACAGCAGTCAGAATGGCTATTATCAAAAAGTTAAAACAAACAAACAAAAAAACCAGATGCTGGTGAGGCTGCAGAGAAAAGCAAATGTTTATATGCTGTTGGTGGTAATGCAAATTACTTTAGCCACTGTGGAAAGTAGTTTAAAGATTTCTCAAAGAAATTAAAACAGAACTACCATTACACCCAGCAATCCCACTACCGGGTATGTACCCAAAGAAAAATGACTCATTCTATCCAAAGGACACTGGCACCCATATGGTTATTGCCACACTAATGACGATAGCAAAGACCTGGTATTAATCTAGGTGCCCATCAATGGTGGGTTGGATAAAGAAAATATTTTATATATACAATATCAATATACAATATTGATAATATTTATGAATATTATAAATATGTAAGTACACACATATACCGTGGACTATTACACAGCACTAACAAAGAATGAAAGCATATTCTTTGCAGCAATGTGGATGCAACTGGAAGCCATTATCCTAAGCAAATTAACACCTGAACAGAAATCTAAATACCACATATTCTCACTTATAAATAAAAGCTAAACATTGAATACACATAGACATAAAGATAGAAATAGTAGACACTGAGAACTGATTGACCAAGGAAAATGTGGGCTGAAAACCTACCTATTGGATACTATGCTCACCACGTGGGTGATGGTACTATCTGTATCTCCAAGCTCAACCTCAACCGCAAGTAATATACCCATGTAACAACCCTGCACATGTAGCCCCCCTGATCTGAATTTTGTTTTGTTTTGTTTTAAAGACAATGTAGTATCCCAGTGCTCTACTTTTTGTTTTTTGTTTTTGGTAGGTTGTTTTTTGCTTATGTATTTTTTTTCAGGAAAAATTTCATCAAGACATTATTATTTTTTTTAATATAGAGCAGGTGCAGTGGTTCATGCCTGTAATTCCTTAGAAAGGCAGAGGCAGGAGGATCACTTGAGCCCAAGAGTTCAAGACTAGTTTAGATAACAGCAAGAATCCTGTCTCTACAGAAAGAAAAAATATGTAGTTGTAAATTGTGTCTTACAAATAAAACTCCCAAAATTCAGAAATAATTCAAACAATTTTACTTAAAATTAAGTATGAGCTATTAATCTGGAGATACAAATACATAAAGATGATAGTGTTTCTAATGATGTTTGAAAAACTATGGCCTTTTATTTAAAGATTTTAAATGCTATTTTTTGTTGGACGTGTGCGAAAAGATATAATTCCTTTATATGCAAGTAACTTTTTTATTTCTCTGTAAGAAATATGTATCAGCATTTAAGCAAAGATTATATTTCATTTTACATTTAGTGCATTTTATTGTTATAATTTCAATGTTCTTAGGGTTCTCTTTAGTTTTTAGGGGCTTGAAATGAGAGATTTCTGTTGACCTGGAACACATGTTTATTGCATATTATATTTCTTCATAATTAGGTTTTAATTTGGATCATTTTTGTTTTAGACACAGTGAAGATAAACTCATTTCTGTTTGATTTTTAATCATATTAATCAATAAAAATTGTTTATTAGTTTTATGAGATGGCATAGAAACTCCTTTATAATGAGGATTTACTTTTAAGAAAATCTTGTCTGTTATTTTTTAACTTACTTTAAAATGAATTTGGTTTTCCAAAAATCAACTTGGGAACATATTTTAGACAGGTAATCTCAGGGCTTTTACATATGTATTTTTTTTCCAAGACAAAATGAACATGGATAGCCTCAATATTTTGTGTGTATCTATTAAAGAGAACAAAATAAGAAGACTTCCTCTGTCTCTCTGACCTATTGTTTGTGCTGGAGACAGAGTAATCTTTCCTTTCCAAAACTTAGATCTGATCATATCAGTCCCCAACTTTATTTCTTTGTTTTTATTTTTTAATGCATTTTTTATTGTATTTTAGATTCTGGTGTACATGTGCAGATCATGCAGAATTGTTGCATAGGTACATACATGGCAATGTGGTTTAGTGTCTCAATCACCCTGTCACCTATATCTGGCATTTCTCCTCATGTTATCCCTCCCCAACCTCCCTACCCCACACTGTCCTTCCTCTAGTCCCCCCACAACAGACCCCAGTGTGTGATGCTCCCCTCCCTGTGTCCATGTGTTCTCATTGTTCAACACCCACCTATGAGTGAGAACATACAGTGCTTGATTTTCTGTTCTTGTGTCAGTTTGCTGAGAATGATGGCTTCCAGATTCATCCATGTCCCTATAAAAGACATGAACTCATAGTTTTGTAAGGCTGCATAGTATTCCATGGTGTATATGTGCCACATTTTCCTTGTCCAGTCTGTCATGAATAGGCATTTGGGTTGGTTCCAGGTCTTTGCTATTGCAAACAGTGCCACAATGAACATAAGTGTGCATATGTATTTATAATGGAATGATTTAGAATCCTTTGGGTGTATACCCAGTAATGGGATTGCTGGGTCAAATGGAATTTCTATTTCTAGGTCCTTGAGGAATCGCCACACTGTCTTCCACAATGGTTGAACTAATTTACACTCCCATCAACAGTGTAAAAGTGTTGCTATTTCTCTGCATCCTCTCCAGCATCTGTTGTGTCCAGATTGTTTAATGATCGTCATTCTAACTGGCATGAGATAATATCTCAATGTGGTTTTGATTTGCATTTCTCTAATGACCAGTGATGATGAGCATTTTTTCAGATGTTTGTTGGCATATATGTCTGTTTTTGACAAGTGTCTGTTCATGTCTTTCACCCACTTTTTAATGGATTTGTTTTTTTTCTTGCAAATCTATTTTAGTTCTTTGTAGTTTCTGGATATTAGCCCTTTGTCAGATGGGTAGATGGCAAAAATTTCCCATTCTGTTGGTTGCCAATTCACTCTAATGATTGTTTCTTTTGCTATACAGAAGTTATGGAGTTTAATTAGATCCCATTTGTCTATTTTGGCTTTTGTTGCCAATGCTTTTGGTGTTTTAGTCATGAAGTCCTTGCCTATTTCTATGTCCTGGATGGTTTTGCCTAGGTTTTCTTCTAGGGTTTTTATGGTGTCTGGTCTTATGTTTAAGTCTTTAATCCATCTGTAGTTAATTTTAGTGTAAGGTGTCTGGAAGGGGTTCAGTTTCTGCTTTCTGCACATGGCTAGCCAGTTATCCAAGCACCATTTATGAAACAGGGAATCCTTTCCCTATTGCTTGTTTTTGTCAGTTTGTCAAAGATCAGATGGTTATAGATGTATGGCATTGCCTCCAAGGCCTCTGTTCTGTTCCATTGGTCTATATCTCACTCCCCCACTTTAAATGTCTCAAGGAAGTTCCATTGTGGTTGGAACTAACTCCAAATTCTCTAATGTGACTTATGAAGAGTAACTTATGAAGTTGCCCTGCTTCTCTCTCCAGCCCTGTCTCCCACCCTGCCTCTTCTGGTATCCCATTCCAAAAGACCCACGGTGTGTGTCTAGTTTTACCTCCTCTACTCCAGACTTTTGGTGTTCTTTTAAAGGAACATCTTCCTTTTCTGGTGACTCTTCATATAAATTGCTATACCACCATCCTGTTAATCTGGTTTGCTTCTACTCATCTTTTTAAGGACTTTCTTATTTGAGGGTGTTTTAAAAATGTAAGCTGGTTAATTTGTAGTTCTTCAGGAAAGGGACAAACTGTTATCATCCTTGGTGTTTAATGTTCTGCTCAGTCCTAATCGAATCTTTAGGTGGTCCTTTACTAAAGTGTATTGTGCAGGCCAGGCTTCTTTGTGATGAAAGGGTAAAAGGATAAAAAACTAAAGTCAAGAGAAAAATTAATATTCACCATCCTCAATTTAATATTTTTTATAAAGGAACTAATACATATTGAGTGAATAGGTGAAAAGGTATCATGAGTAAAGTGAAGTTATAGCAAAACTTCAGGATTATTTCATGAAATGAAAATTTCCCATGTAAATGGGAGATTTCTAAAAAAAAATGATGAAAGAACACTTTTATTGTTTTCAGTCAAATTTAGAACAGGAGAATGGATTTCTAATATGGTGCCAGTCTATAAAAGAATGGAAGGATTTCTTGGTGATATTAGTCTATTGGTATTAGAATGAGGAATATATGAAGACTTTAATGGTAGAAAGTTATATCAGTCAAAGAATACTTTTATAGTTTAGCACTAATACAAACTTATTATTAAAATGAAGGAAATTTTTTTAAAGTACAAAGAAGTGAAACATTACTCAGCACCTCATCCTCCAGAAATACATGACAAGAACTTGAAAGAGCAAAACAGGAGGTTCATCTCTCTGGAACTATTTAGGATTGACCTTCAAAAGACAGAAGAATGGACTAAATAAACCGAATGACAACTTAATGTAACCTCAAGGGAAAAGGACCTCTTGGTTTAGAGTTGTTGTGGACAAGTTGCAGAAAGAATTTTTTGTAATAATTAAGATTTCTTGAAATCTAATTCAAGAAATCTAATTTCAGTTTAGAATTTACCTTCATAAAGACAGAAGGATTTCTTGATTTTGTGGTTTTGTGAATAAACCACAGTGAGAAATTATCCACGAAATTTAACTGGATTCAAATGAAACAACCTCCTGTATTCTCTTTGTAATAGATATTTGATACAATCTATTAAACATTTTTGAGTCATTTAATCTTTGCCTTAGTCTGTGGGTCACTGCCATTAAGTAATCACATATATGTAACTTCTGTTTTACTTTTAAGCTGGATAATGCAGATGAACAAGCAGCCCAGATCAGAAGGGAACTTGATGGCCGGCTGCAGTTGGCAGATAAAATGGCGAAGGTAAATTATTTACTTGGACATACTATATCCCATTCCTTTCTTTACCTAGATTTCTGTGAGCTGAAAGAGTGTTTTGTATAGGTGAAAAAGAAAGAGCCAGCATAATTTTAACATTTTCTCCTCTACACATAGACCTCTTAATCTCAAATATCTGAACGCATGTTGTATAAATGGAGCAGATTATTCATTTTACATATTCATTCTTAATATGTGAATTGTTTAATTTTAATAACTTTTATAGATTTTTTAAAGCAATGCCTGAGTTTCTCAAACTGCCATATATAGAAGTTTCGATGTTGTGCTAGGCAAAATAGGGAGAAAAAACTCCTCCCTGAAAAATCATGTAATATATTTGTAAGTATACAGCATAGTTATTGCCACATGGTGGTTCCAACTAATATTTAATTCAGTGACTAAATGCATGAAAAAATGTAATTTGAAGTATCTAGTAGAAAGTCTGGCAGATGTTTGATACAAGAAATTCACTATATTGTACTTATTTGTGTGATCATTATATATCGTGAATAGAAATAGATTTCAAGCAAAAGCCATGAGTTTTTTCTAGTACTTAAGGTTTTTAGAAAGAATGGAACCTAATTGTCTAAATCATTCTTTAGTGAATTGATTGATTAACTTACTTCAGTGGTATGAAAATTTTCATTTTTTTCAATGGACTTGCAATTACAGTGCTGTTGATTGCTCTGAACATAAGATTCTTTCCCCCTTCCTTTCTGCTAAGCAAAAACTTCCAATATTTGATGGATGGTCTCTCTTTCTGTCTCATAACATGTATACAATAAGCTGCACACATCTTCAGTTTACAGTTTGATGAATGTTTATGAATATACCCTATGCAGCTACCTCCCAAATCAAGATAGTGAACTCTTCCAGCATTCAAGGAGTTATATCCCATACTAATTTTGATGATTATTTTTGTGCTTCTGCAAAGTAAATGTGTATTTGTTAATATTAATATATATAGTTTTAAAAATGCTAAAAACATTTAAATATTTATTAAAACATGAGGAAACTTTGAGAAATTAGAGATAAACAATGTTATAGAAAAAACTTGAGAGAAATTGGTTAACAAGAATGTCAGTAAACTGTAAGATCATGGGGAAGAATCTCTAGATGAGTGAAGACACATTGTGTTATAAATCAGGGGCCAAAGAGTTACATTTGCACAAAGGGCAGTGGCTGAAAGGATACCATGCCTTATTTTTGTCCTTTGGGTTTCTACAAAGGTGCTATTTTATTCTGGAGATTTGAATGTGGACTTCATATAGTAGAAACCAAGCAGCTTGAGGCTGTTGGAACCTTTAGAAAGAAAAATGTTTTAATGCCAAATCCTATCCTGAACTGAGACGGCTGGAAAAGAAATTGCTTTTCTGAGACCTCAAGATAACAAAGAACCTGGAGAGATGTGCCTGACAGCAGCAGGCAGGACAGTGGATCTGTGTTCAGCATTTGAAAATTACCTACTTGTATATAGATTGTACCTGAGACTGGGTACATTGTCATATCTGATGCTTTAGAATAAAGTTTAAGTGACCTTCTAGAGAGTTATGAGACTGGAAAAAAAGCCTCAGACATGTTCTCAGGTTCATGTCTGAGAAGGAGAAGGCATATTCATAAACTCCTAGGCTGAGTCAGAAGAAAGGTTTAGTTCTCTCCTTGAAAGAACTCTAATTGTTTCATCAGAGATGTTGATATAGTGGGAAAAGCATGGAGAAAGAAACTGATGGGGTTGGGAAGCAAAATATACCTCTAAAAATAGGATACCTTTTGGTGAAAATATTGACACAGCAAATTCAGCAGGTTTAATTGCTTTCTGCTTGATGGTCACCAAAGTGAAGCCCTCTTAATGAAATGTTTTTAAGTCTAATAACAATTTACTGACCTTGTTGAGTTACATTCCTGTAATAATCCTAAAACCTTGTAAGGGCAAATAATATCGTGAAGTTAATTTCATAAAAGAGGAAATTGAAGCTTAGACAAGATTATTTATTTCACCATGATTACATAACAAATAAGTGGCTGAGGCAGACCTCAAATCCTGGCCTTGTCTCCAGAGCCTGGGCTCGCTCCCTTGCATCCTGTTGCCTCTGCAATCTGATAATGCCAGAAGTATGGTTAATAAATAGGTATTAGTTGGCAATCAGAAACATCCCTTTCCTCATTTCACAGAACAATACAATATAATAACAGTAAAACTGCAGGGCAAAAATCTCTGCTTCAAGGGAAATGTTGACTTTAGTACTTTAGCCAAGAATAATTAGGAAGTAGTGGGCAAAACATGTACAGAAAGACCTGTGACCAAATTCATGATTGCTATTGTCTAGATATAATAGTAAGCACATTACTTAACATTTTAGAGACTCATTTTTTCTATCAAATTTGTTGAGGAAATATTTATTGAACACCAGCTATACAGCTGGGTGCTGTCTTAGGTACTTGGGATATATTGGGTTAAAACAAGACAAAAATATTTCCGCCAGGCCCTGGTGGAGCTTACATTTTATTTGGAATAGTTCCACAGTAAGCAGTAATCATGCCATGTAACTAAATTACATATGGTGATCACTGTTACTTAGAAAATAGGTCAGAAAAAATAGGATATGAGGAGTGTAGGAGGGAGGTGGTAGGAGGTTACAGTTTTCAGTCAAGTGGTCAAGGCAGGCCAGTTCTTGATAGTACAATTCTTCCAGATACTCAGACCAAAAAACTTGTAATCATCTTTGATTCCTTTTTCTCATACCTCATGCAAAACTTACCAGTAAATCCTTTTATCTCTACCTTCACAGTATTTCCAGAATGTGATGATGGCTGCCATCCTCCACCTTCCAAAATGTGGTCTAACCATCTTTGTCTGTTGTCTGGATCATTGTTCTGTCCTTTTAACTAGTCTCCTGGATTCCACTCATCTCCATTAACACAAGAGCCAGTGATGTTCTCCATTAAATCTGTGATGATTCCCTGTGTTGCCGAGAGAAAAAGAAAAGTTCCTAAAATGGCCTGCAAAGTCCTGTATGATCTGGTCTTTGTTACCCCTTTGACTTTATCCTTCACTAAGCTCTTGCCCTTGCTCAGTCCACTTTGGCTATGGTGGCCTCATTGGTTTTCCTGCCACAGGGCCTTGGGCCTGACTGTTCACCGGCAATTATCTTCCATTGACATTTACATGGCTTTTTCCCTGCTGTAGTCAGGTTTTCCAGAGAAACAGAGCCAATAAATTTATCTATATATTCATATATCTAGACCTATATCTAGATAGATAAAATAAATGTATATAATATTAAAAAGTAGTGTTATATATACATACATATTATATGTGTATATATATTTATAAAATAACTACAGGGCATGCACGTGCACACACACACACGTGGGAGGGCAAGTAGAGACAGAGCTTGATTGAGTTCAAGGAATTGGCTCCCACAGCTGTGAGCATTAGCAAGTCCAGAATTCACAGGACAAGTAGGCAGGCTGGAAATTCAGGTGAGAATTGATGTTACATTCTTAAGTCTGAAATCTGTAGAGTGGACTGGCAGACAAGAAACTCAGGCAGTGTTTCTATGTTTTAGTCTTGAGGCAAAATTGCTGCTGCTTTAGGAAACCTTTGTCTTTGCTCATAAATTCTTCAACTGAGTGAATGAGACCTACTACAGATGTAGGAGGGTGATCTGATTTACTGAATCTACTGATTGTAAATGTTATTCACATCTAAAGAATATTTTGTTAACAACATTTAAATTCGTGTTTGGCCTTACAATTGGACACCATACCCTAGCCAGGTTGACAAACAAAATTAATCATCATACTTCCTTATCCACTACTATGCTCAAAGGGCATCATCTCCTCATTGAGACCTTCTCCAACCACCTTGTTTAAAGTTACAGCCCTTCTTAGCACTCACTCTATGTCCCTTCTAGACTTTTTCTCCATGGTACTTACCACTTTCTACCATAATAAATTATTTCCTTGTTTATGAAGTCTATAAAATATAGGTTCCATGGCAGCAGAGGATTTTTGCCCATTATCTTCATGGTACTATCCAGGGGCCTGGAGCAGAACACATAGCAGGCACTCAGGGAATGTCTGTCGAATGACAGTCTTTACATGCTGTCATACTTGTGAGAAAGCCAGGACTGTGAAGAATTCTTGAATTAAAAGGCACATTTGAATTGAAAGGAAGAGAGAGTACCAATATGGTAAGAATAACTGAATCTGCTCCAATTTGTAATACCAACAACAAAAAAAAGCTAAACACTTCAGCATTTTAGTTAGGATTGGAACCAGCTTCAAAACCAGTAGTTCACTTGATGCCATGATGCTGAGATTAGAACCAAAAATTAATATTTGGGGCATGGGAAGCAGCAGAGATCAGCTTAGAGAAACTATCCTGTGATAGGAACCCAACATGTCATCTAGAGGAAGGTTAAGAGCACTTAAGAAAAAGTGATTATATTTGAATAATGAGAAAAAAATTTTAAAGAAGACAACTTTTTTTGTGTGTGTATACCATGTGTTAAGACCACTAGTGACCTATGCTATACAGAGGACCCAATTAGAACACATGACTTATAAGAGTGACTCACAGTTTGACAACTAAGAAATAACTCTATTTCTGATTCAATTCTAGTTTAAAAGAACACATTTAAAATGAATAATTGTCTGATATACACTTGGTTTTGTTGTTTGCCAGTGAGGGACAACACAAGCAGGTTAAATAGAGGTGTTGAAATATTATCAATAAACCTCAAAGCTTTAAAACAGTATTTGAGCTTTTTCAGGGGGAAAAAAATCTGGTATAGTCTATTCCTTGAAAAGTTTGAAAATACTGATAAAAGAGTCGATTTTGGTGTTGCCTGCTTTTCTTCTCTTTGACAGATGATAGTTAATGAAGTGCTTATAGTTAAAGCTAAATACAAATAGAATATTTTTTTCTCATCCTAATGCTAGATTTTCCATAACATGTTGAAAATATGAAAGAAAAGCATTAGAAAATTAGGACTTTCAGATATATGATATGCTCATCTTTTGCTTTGTTACACTATAATTTTTTAATGGGAAAGTTATGACTTTCATACAAATATAAAATGGACACACAATAGAGATTTTATTCAATGCATAATTAATAAGCAAACAAATTGGATATTAAGACCCAGCCAAAGAGCATATGAGAAGCTAGGTGTTTGGGGGCATTACTAAGATAAGATTAATGGATTCATTAAAAATTGGTTAATTTCTAATACAGATTTAAACTGAAACTTTGACTTATTCACCAGGCAAACATTATTTACATCTCTTTCAGATGCAGTTTTACAAAGTAACATGTAACTTTATCATCTTGAACCTTTAGTCAATAATAAATAATAAGATGAATTAAGAACTTTTCTGCAAATGATCATTGGATGGCCTTCACCTCCATGTGACATTGAAAGGATCTGCCTCCTCATTGTTTGCCTTATTTCTCAGTTTTGGATGCTTTTTCTGACAGCCTTAAAGTTAATCCAAAAACATAAAATATGTTTTTTATGGATCATTTTACTTTTTTCTCCCCTCTTTGCTTATATTGAAAAATTACTCTAAAAACAATTCCTTTCCTCCCCTGCCCTGTCAAAGAAAACTCAGGTATTCTATAGCTGGGTAGTTACATGTTTTCTTAAGGATATAGATTTGCTATTTTTGAATGTTGCATCAAACTCTAGAGAAGTTTTAAAAGGATACTTAAGAATCTTCTTTGGGAAAGTTAATTTTTAATGTAGATATTTAATCTGTGACATTATGCAGTTTTAATTTTGATTATATGTAAATTAGTTTAAAAAGAAATATGTGAAGGTTATCCTGGGGGAGAAGAAAAACCGGTGGCCTAAGACTCTGGGACTGGTCTGTGAAGTGGTGCCAGATGTTCCTTCCCATCCCATGAACCAACTGGTGCAAGCAAGTCAGAGGCTAGGTGCAGGTTGACAGGAGCACACTGGACACTTTCCAATCGTACTAGAGACATGTAGATTTCTTAGGTTAGATTTTGAGTGATGTCAAGGGGGCAACAGTAAAGGCAGTGATTTTCTGGAACATTCAGCAGTCATTTGAAAGATGGTTGCTTTAGGCTTTCATCCTTCAGCCGGTTCTGAGCAGTGATGATCATTTCATACTGGGCCTTATATTATAAAACTATATACCTTTTGTCTTTAAGAGAGAAAATCTAAGTACCAGGTTGGCGAACATTAAAGAAAGAGCCAAGAGTGTGAGGGAACAAAGTGCTCTCATTTGCTGTTCTGAAGAATATAAATTTGTTATAATATTATCTAAGAACGATTTGGCACTATCTAAATATCAATATTTGGAATGTCCTTTTAATTGAGCAGAAGAAACAAGTCTGATTGCAGAGTTAAAAGTATTGAATGGTGATGCTGATATAACTTAGCAAGAAAATAGAATCTTCCAAATTGATACTGTTACTTTTTCCTTAATCATTTTTAATCATAAATTTTCCTTTTGCTTTAAATTTAACTTTATCTAAGCCTTTAGTGAAAAACTGAATTTATAGCCACAAGAGATCTTGGCACATTCATGTAATGTGAAAATTTACTAATTTTAGAAATATGACCATATCACTCTTCAATAATATGAGTTTTTAGGTTTGAATGCCTATTTATAAAAAGCGTACTCTTCCAGCAATGCATATCTGTGGTAAGAAATTGAGCTGTTGTTAAAACGTTTGTTTCCTAACTGGCAAAGCTGTTGTGTCCTCAACATTTTCTTACATACCAGTTATCCTAAGCATTGCAAAGCTACTAGTGACTAAGGTTTATCTTTACACTAAAATATCTTCCATGCTTGTTTTCAGAGTTTGTTTTTCCTTAAGCAAATCTTATCACAAGCAAAGCTACTGCGAAAATATATGTGATTTTTTCATTTTGTTCTTCAATGATCCTCAATAAGATATCTGAAGTACCTTTAGATGTGCCAGTGCCTGAGGATTTTAAAGCCTAGTGACTCAAGTAGGGTAGATATATTGAGAGTTTTGTAATTTCTAAGACAGCGAAGAATTATATACATCATATATTTTTAATGATAAAATTGAAATATGACTTATGTAACACTAATATTTTATAAATTATTTTCAAGGAAAGAAAATTCCCCCAATTTATAGCAAAAGATATGGAGAATATGTATATAGAAGAATTGCGGTCTTCAGTGAATTTGCTAATGGCCAATTTGGAAAGTCTTCCAGTTTCGAAAGGTGGTCCAGAATTTAAATTACAAAAATTAAAACGTTCACAGAATTCTGCATTTTTGGACATAGGGGATGAGAATGAGATTCAGCTGTCAAAGTCCGACGTGGTATTGTCATTCACCTTAGAGGTAAGTAGCTTTATCTCCTACCTGCCTCTGACAGCATAAATAAGTCTGCATAATAATTTCTGCTGACCTTTGTGGTAACTGTTAGAATTTAAAACAGTGAAATATATGTTGGAGATGTTAAATTATTCTTCATTTGTTGGATACTCGACCTGTATATGCAAATGAATGCAAATTTTTCTTTAAATATAACAGTATTAGGACTAAATAATAAAATAACAAAAGTTTTAAAGCAAGTCTTCTTTATGCCAGTCAGGGTAGTATAAGTTTACTGATACAGTAGGATGAGCATGGTGGCTCACACCTGTAATTCCAGCACTTTAGGAGGCCAAGGCAAGAGGATCACTTGAACCAAGAAGTTTAAGATCAGCCTGGGCAGCATAACAAGACCCAGTTTCTAAAAAACCAAAAAACAAAAACAAAAGGTATCTCATCATGATGGTGTGTGCCTGTAGTTCCAGCTACTTGGGAGACTAAGATGAAAGGATTGCTTGAGCTCAGGAGGTTGAGGTTACATTGAACAGGGATCATGACCCTGCACTCCAGCCTGGCAGGCAGAGTAAGACCCTGTCTCAAAAACACAAGGATAGCAAAAGTTCATCGATAAAGTAAGCATCAAAACGGACTGGGGTAGAAATAGCAATTCAACATATAAGTGAATTCTTTGTAATTTGGAAACTTTTTTCAGGTTTCTGGTTAACCTTTCTTTTTAAATCTACTTTACCTGTGGGATCATTTTTCTAGGATCATATTAAACCAGTTATAATGTATATTATTGGATACCATGGATGATGAGAAATAGATAATTCTTTTTCAGGACTTCAAGTTTTATTACAGGGACAATATATATTAGAGCAAGAACAAATGTCATACATTTAAAATTGTGTTCCCCAAAACTTCAGAATTTCATATTTTATGCAAATCACGGGAATCCAAACACTAATACTCTTTGTACAGCTTCCTGTTGATGCTTTACGTAATTCTTCATTGCTGAGCTATGCATATGGGCTTATCTAGTTATATGTCTATGGATTTGTACACCACCACACACAAACACACACCCCTGACAGACATCTTTAGTTCCTTGGAGAAAGAATGTATGTGAAACATTAAAATAAAAGATTATAACATAATAATTCGGACTGCCAAGTCACCATTTGGCTTAAACTCAAGCTCCCCCTCCCCGTAATTTTTATTCTATGAGTAAATACTGACACTGTGACACTTTAATTCATAGCTCTCTCAAAAATTACATTGAGGCTTATAGCTCCTTCCTTTTATCCTCTCTGCTGGTTCCCCATGCTGCCATTTTCATTTGCTGATTGACAAAGAAAAGTAAATACAGTCTCACAAAGAACAGTTTTCAATTTCTATGTTGAAACTTGACTTGCTTAGTTTATGGCAGAAAAAGAAAACTTTTATTTCTATTCTTTTTTTCCCCATATATTCAACTCTGAGATAAATTCAAACTTGAGGATGACATCTGCTTCTCACTTTCTTAATTTCAGGATTAATGATTTATTTGTAGATTAATAGATTAAACTTAGTATCAGATTAGAACTATGAGGCTTTCTTTTGACTCAAGATTCAATTCTGGGCTTACCTAATGGCTTTGCCAAATGACTTCACTACTGGCTTTCTTCTCAGACTTTTCAGGCTTATAACATAAGGATGTCTAATTTGAAACTACATAGCATGTTACCTATAGTATTTCCTTATCATTCCTGCCTCAGATCTCCTGCTAAGTGAAATATAAAAGGTCAATTGTTTTCCATTTTTTAAAACTTCATACAAAACATAATTCATTTAATTATACTATAATTTTTCCAATAAGAGTTTATCTTATGTATTTATTTAGTTAGTTTTGTGGAGACTGAGTCTCTCTCTGTCACCCAAACTGGAGTGTAGTGGTGTAATCTCTGCTCACCACAACTTCCACCTCCCAGGTTCAAGGAATTCTCCTGTTTCAGCCTTCTGAGTAGCTGGGACTACAGGCAAGCAACACCATGCCCAGCTAATTTTTTTTTTTTTTTGTATTTTTTGTAGAGATGGGGTTTCCCTTTATTGCGCAGGCTGGTCTTGAACTCCTGAGCTCAGGCAATCCACCCACTTCTGCCTCCCAAAATGCCAGGATTACAGGCTTGAGCCACCATGCCCAACCTATCATTTAAATTTATTGATGGAAAAAATAATTTGTAGAGCAAATAACTTTTATGATGTACAAATCTACCATATCTTTATATGTAAACATTCAGAACTAAAAGCTCAGAACATTTTCTCTTTTCTCTATTGTTCAAAAATCTTAAACAATTGTAATAATTAAATTCTTATAATTATATTTTACCTACTGAAAACAAAATTAGGCATCGAGTCAATGTTTAAGTGAAATGATGAATTGTTATTCTGTGCTTTATTGCCAATATGTTTAGCAGGGCTGTTCAGTTGGCAGTAGATTGTTAGGCAGAGAATATAAGCTAAAACTTTATTTTCCATGGTCTGAGAAGCTTGCATATTTATAAAATTGTTTTGACATCCTGTGTTGCTATGTCTGTCTAAGGCAGATATTTTCCTACCATAGCATAATACAAATCTGTTCTCTGTGTCTATAGTATTTTAAGCAGGAGTTATGTGTCCAGCAACAAAGTAAAATCATGTTAAGTGATGATGGTGCAGTGCATGTTTATAGGACACCAGAGAGAACAGATATGCCACTTGTCCCAGGGCCTGTGACATCAGCTAAGCTAAACTGAATAATTATCCCTATCCCTTTAAGCAAGCCTTGCTCCTCAGACCCCATATTTCAGCCTAAGTCAACTCTGAAAGGCAAGCAGTTAATCCAATTTAAAGCTCTCACATTTCATTAGTCAGGCTTAGAAGTGGTCCAGTGGAGGAATCTTTTCTAAGAACTATACTGAGCCAAAGGAATAAGGTGCAGATTTAAAAACTCTACTTAAATTTCATCTTCTCTTTAAAATTGCTCCCACATCTCCCTTCTCTCACTCTACCTTATTCCCTTACCAAGTTCAATTTTTGCCATACTATTTACCAACTAACATATAGCTCAGTTATTTATTATGTTTATTGTTAATTATCTGGCTATCTCTACTAGAATGAAAGCTGCAGGAAGGTAATATTTCTTTCTCTTTTTTGTTTACTGAGGTATGGAAAGTAACTAAACAGTGCTTAGCACACAGTTGACTCAATAAATACTTATTGAATTAAAAGATTTTTATGGTATCAAAAAAGCAGTTAGCCATACAGGATTACTTTTAGGTCTCTGTTTATTAAGAGAGAAATATTAAAGCAACAGATGAGCTAACCCACAAAATGCTAAGCTATTAAATAATGTTAAATGCAAGCAAAACTAGAAAAACAAATGTTCACCTAAGAAGTGGAAAGTGGGGAATGATCTCAATGGCATGAATATATTTGATTTTTTTTTTTTTTTTTTTTTTGAGACTGAATCTCACTCTGTTGCCCAGGCTGGAGTGAAGTGGCGTGATCTCGCCTCACTGAAACTGCTGCCTCCCAGGTTCAAGCAATTCTCCTACCTGATCCTCCTTAGTAGCTTGGATTACAGGCACATGCCACCACGCCTGGCTAGTTTTTTGTATTTTTAGTAGAGATGGGATTTCACCATGTTAGCCAGGCTGCTCTCAATCTCCTGACCTCATGATCTACCCACCTCGGCCTCCCAAAGTGCTGGGATTACAGGCATGAGCCCCCATACCCAGCATGCAGTTGTTTTTTTACAGTGTATTCTGTTTTCAATTTTAGGTTAGCATCCCATGACTACTTCTGTGTTTGGCACCTTATGGTTCCCAGTTTCACCATACTGTGCAGCATCATTTTCTAATAAACTACACAATGCTTAAGTGTCTCCTAACTCTGTGGTCAGTGTTTTCTTGGAAGAATGTTACCTAGTTTCACATTTTATACTTATCTCCTTTCTTTTTGCTTCTAGGACAACTTTATTTTATCCCTATGACATCAGCTACAGAGAGATTGGGGAAGAGAAGATTAAAAATAGGTCAATTTAGTTTCTGTAGGTCCATTAGCAAGTTTTGCTGGGAATTGAAACACTATTTAAAATTAGATTAGCTGATGGTCCATGGAATTCTTGGCTGTCTTTATCAGTAATTATTAAGGCCACCTATTTTTTACTTTTCTTTTGGATATCAGATCTGTAGAATCATGTTGTTTTATTTATACATATAGATTCATCACAGAATATCTTTTGAAAATGACAATTCTGCAGGATAAAACATTCCCAGCACAGTTGGAAGTATTGTTTTGAAAAGCAGAGTGCTGTTTCACAAGTTGTATGTTTTAGGAGGTCATGTTTATAGTAGCTTGTAGTAGAGGTGACAGAAATAATGTGAGGCAGATGCTTCTTTTCTTTTCTCTTGCACTTTGGTTATTTAAATACACTGCAGAAGAGATGCAGTGTAAACAATAATATTCTGAATAGGGAGCAATGCTCTTAGAATTTCTAGGCTTGTGGTACACAATTCTATTGTTTTGTACATTTTAAATGACGATCACACATTTTTATTATTAAGAAATGGCTGGGCCGGGCGCGGTGGCTCAAGCCTGTAATCCCAGCACTTCGGGAGGCCAAGGCGGGTGGATCACAAGGTCAAGAGATCGAGACCATCCTGGTTAACGTGGTGAAACTGTCTCTACTAAAAATACAAAAAAGTAGCTGGGCATGGTGGCACATGCCTGTAATCCAAGCTACTCAGGAGGCTGAGGCAGGAGAATTGCCTGAACCCAGGAGGCGGACATTGCGGTGAGCCTAGATCGTGCCATTGCACTCCAGCCTGGGTAACAAGAGCGAAACTCCATCTCAAAAAAAAGAAAGAAATGGCTGGGCATGATGGCTCACGCCTGTAATGCCAGCACTTTGGGAGGCCGAGGCGGTTGGATCACGAGGTCAAGAGATCGAGACCATCCTGGCCAACATGGTAAAACCCCGTCTCTACTAAAAAAATACAAAAAATTATCTGGGCACGGTGATGTGCGCCTGTAGTTTCAGCTACTCGGGAGGCTGAGGCAGGAGAATTGCTTGAACCCAGGAGGTGGAGATTGCAGTGAGCTGAGATCATGCCACTGCACTTCAGCCTGGCACCTGGCAATAGAGAGAGACTCTGTCTCAAAAAAAAAAAAAAAAAAAAAAAAGAAATTATTAGAGTAATGGTGGTAAGTTCAAATGAGGTTGACTTTTAATTAATATGGTTATATATTTGATTTATCTCAGTTTCTGGTTTTATTTGTATGAGAATCTTAACAATTTTTAATATTACTAACAAAAAAACCTGAGTCATTAAAAATGCATAACTTGGTTTGCTTATTTTCCTTAATCAAGATTTAGTATTTCAGCCAGGCTTAGTGGCTCACCCCTGTAATCCCAGCACTTTGGGAGGCTGAGGAAGGCAGATCATGAGGTCAGGCGATAGAGACCATCCTGGCCAATGTGGTGAAACCCCATTTCTACTAAAAACAGAAAAATTAGCTGGACATGGTGGCACGTGCCTGTAATCCCAGTTACATGGGAGGCTGAGGCAGGAGAATTGCTTGAGCCAGGAAGTCATAGGTTGCCAACCTGGTGACAGATGAGATTTCATCTCAAAAAAACAAAAACAAAAACAAAACAAAAACAAAAAAAAGAAAGAAAAAAAAAGATTCAGTATTTCATCCCAGTTTCCCTGAGCAGTATTAGAAAAGCTGTGAAAAATATTTCTTTTCTCTATCAATTCTCCGTTAATTTTCTTAGTCTGTTTTCAGGTAAGACCTTATTTTTATTTATATGCTGGTATGCATTTTAATGTGAGAAAATGACAGATCTCTAGTTGAGGAAGAAAACTTGTTCTGAGTTTGACTTTTTTTCACTCTCTTTTTTTTTCCCCTTTTTTTTATTGCATTTTAGGTTTTGGGGTACATGTGATGAACATGCAAGATTGTTGCATAGGTACACACATGGCAGTGGTTTGCTGCCTTCCGTCCCCTCACCTGTATCTGTCATTTCTCCCCATGCTATCCCTTCCCACCTCCCCACCCCCCCGCCCCTCCCCCATTCCCCCCAACGGACCCCAGTGTGTAGTGCTCCCCTCTCTGTGTCCATGTGTTCTCATTGTTCAACACCCGCCTATGAGTGAGAATATACGGTGTTTGATTTTCTGCTCTTGTGTCAGTTTGCTGAGAATGATGGTTTCCAGGTTCATCCATGTCCCTACAAAGGACGTGAACTCATCGTTTTTGATGGCTGCGTAATATTCCATGGTGTATATGTACCACATTTTCCTTATCCAGTCTATCATCGTTGGGCATTTGAGTTGGTTCCAGGTCTTTGCTATTGTAAACAGTGCTGCAATGAACATTCGTGTGCACGTGTCCTTGTAGTAGAATGATTTATAATCCTTTGGATATATACCCAGTAATGGGATTGCTGGGTCAAATGGGATTTCTATTTTTAGGTCATTGAGGAATCGCCACACTGTCTTCCACATGGTTGAATTAATTTACATTCCCACCAACAGTGTAAAAGTGTTCCTATTTCTCCACATCCTCTCCAGCATCTGTTGTTTCCCGATTTTTTAATGATCGCCATTCTAACTGGTGTGAGATGGTATCTCAGTGTGGTTTTGATTTGCATTTCTCTGATGACCAGTGATGATGGGCATTTTTTCATATGTTTGTTGGCCTCCTGTATGTCTTCTTTTGTAAAGTATCTGTTCATATCCTTTGCCCATTTTTGAATGGGCTTGTTTGTTTTTTTCTTGTAGATCTGCTTTAGTTCTTTGTAAATTCTGGATATCAGCCCCTTGTCAGATGGGTAGGCTGCAAAAATTTTTTCCCATTCTGTTGGTTGCCGATTCACTCTACTGACTGTTTCTTTTGCCGTGCAGAAGCTGTGGAGTTTGATTAGGTCCCATTTGTCTATTTTGGCTTTTGTTGCCATTGCTTTTGGCGTTTTGGTCATGAAGTCCTTGCCTACACCTATGTCCTGAATGGTTTTGCCTAGATTTTCTTCTAAGGTTTTTATGGTATTAGGTCTGATGTTTAAGTCTTTAATCCATCTGGAGTTAATTTTGGTGTAAGGTGTCAGGAAGGGGTCCTGTTTCTGCTTTCTGCACATAGCTAGCCAGTTTTCCCAACACCATTTATTAAACAGGTAGTCCTTTCCCCATTGCTTGTTTTTGTCAGGTTTGTCGAAGATCAGATGGTTGTGGGTATGTTGTATTTCCTGTGAGGCCTCTGTTCTGTTCCATTGGTCTATATCTCTGTTTTGGTTCCAGTACCATGCTGTTTTGATTACTGTAGCCTTGTAGTATAGTTTGAAGTCCGGTAGTATGATGCCTCCTGTTTTGTTCTTTTTGCTTAGAATTGACTTGGCTATGCGGGCTCTCTTTTGGTTCCATATGAAGTTTAAGGTGTTTTTTTCCAGTTCTGTGAAGAAGGTCATTGGTAGCTTGATGGGAATAGCATTGAATCTGTAAATTACTTTGGGCAGTATGGCCATTTTCACGATGTTGATTCTTCCTAACCATGAACATGGAATGTTTCTCCATCTGTTTGTATCCTCTCTTATTTCGTTGAGCAATGGCTTGTAGTTCTCCTTGAAGAGGTCCTTTACGTTCCTTGTTAGTTGTATTCCTAGGTACTTTATTCTCTTTGTAGCAATTGTGAATGGCAGTTCGTTCTTGATTTGGCTCTCTTGAAGTCTATTACTGGTGTATAGGAATGCTTGTGATTTTTGCACGTTGATTTTGTATCCTGAGACTTTGCTGAAGTTGTTTATCAGTTTCAGGAGACTTTGGGCTGAGATGATGGGGTCTTCCAGATATACAATCATGTCATCTGCAAATAGAGACAATTTGATTTCCTCCTTTCCAATTTGGATACCCTTTATTTCTTTTTCTTGCCTGATTGCTCTGGCTAGAACTTCCAGTACTATATTGAATAGGAGTGGTGAGAGAGGGCATCCTTGTCTAGTGCCAGATTTCAAAGGGAATGCTTCCAGTTTTTGCCCATTCAGTATGATATTGGCTGTTGGTTTGTCGTAAATAGCTTTTATTGTTTTGAGATACGTTCCGTCAATACCTAGTTTATTGAGGGTTTTTAGCATAAAGGGTTGTTGAATTTTGTCGAAAGCCTTCTCTGCATCAATTGAGATAATCATGTGGTTTTTGTCTTTGGTTCTGTTTATGTGGTGAATTACGTTTATGGACTTGCGTATGTTGAACCAGCCTTGCATCCCCGGGATGAATCCTACTTGATCCTGGTGGATGAGCTTTTTGATGTGCTGTTGCAATCGGTTTGCCAGTATTTTATTGAAGATTTTTGCATCTATGTTCATCATGGATATTGGCCTGAAATTTTCTTTTCTTGTTGAGTCTCTGCCGGGTTTTGGTATCAGGATGATGTTTGTCTCGTAAAATGATTTGGGAAGGATTCCCTCTTTTTGGATTGTCTGGAATAGTTTCAGAAGGAATGGTATCAGCTCCTCTTTGTATGTCTGGTAGAATTCGGCTGTGAACCCATCTGGACCTGGGCTTTTTTTGGGTGGTAGGCTCTTAATTGCTGCCTCGACTTCAGACCATGTTATTGGTCTATTCAGAGTTTCAGCTTCTTCCAGGTTTAGGCTTGGGAGGATGCAGGTGTCCAGGAATTTATCCATTTCTTCCAAGTTTACTAGTTTATGTGCATAGAGTTGTTTGTAATAATCTCTGATGATGGTTTGGATTTCTGTGGAATCTGGTGATATCCCCTTTATCGTTTTTTATTGCATCAATTTGGTTATTCTCTCTTTTCTTTTTTATTAATCTGGCTAGTGGTCTGTTTATTTTGTTGATCTTTTCAAAAAACCAGCTCCTGGATTTATTGATTTTTTGAAGAGTTTTTTGTGTCTCTATTTCCTTCAGTTCTGCTCTGATCTTAGTTATTTCCTGTCTTCTGCTAGGTTTTGAGTTTTTTTTTTATCTTGCTCCTCTAGCTCTTTCAATTTTGATGATAGGGTGTCAATTTTAGATCTCTCCTTTCTTCTCATGTGGGCACTCATTGCTATATATTTTCCTCTAGAGACTGCTTTAAATGTGTCCCAGAGATTCTGGTATGTTGTGTCTTCGTTCTCATTGGTTTCGAAGAACATCTTTATTTCTGCCTTCATTTCATTGTTTATCCAGTCAACATTCAAGAGCAAGTTTCTTCTAGGAGTTACAAATACATAAAGCAATATCAGTTTTTCCACCCTTTACCAGTGTACTGAATTAAATTAGTACATAGCTTTAATGAACAGAAAAATCACTTTTTTCTTATGAGGTTAGTATTAAGATGTTCAGTGACAAGTTATAATTTCCATTTAGTAAGACACAGACCACAAATAAAACTCTTTTTACATGTAGTAATAGTCATCTCAAATAAGTGAATATAGAAAATTTCTGATAATCACATATCGATATCAATGAGTTGGTATGATGGCAATAGTGCCTACCAGTAATATGTACTATATTACCTTATATGGAACTTAACCATGTACTGCTGATATCATCTGCACTGAATTTTCATTTGTGATTCTGCTTAACTTCATGCAGACTTGCCTTTACTCATTAAGTATCTGAGTTTAAATTTTATTTAATTCAGTAGGGCGTATATTTATGACATTTGACTTACTTTGTTTATAGGTGGCAGGAGGTATATTTTCAGGTACTAGACTTCCTCAAAATGTTATTTACTGTACCTTCTATGAATAGAGGTGGATTATAAAGAAGATAAAATACCAGTGATGTTAACAAATAACAAATTTTTTTTTCAGTTTTGTTAGTCTTCCTTATTACAGTTCATGCTGCTATTTTTGTATATAGCTAAATGTTATCAGCTCGATGCATTATTTTAAAATTATTTTGTCTTTAGATTGTCATAATGGAAGTGGAAGGCTTGAGGTCAGTTGCTCCCAATCGAATTGTTTACTGTACAATGGAAGTGGAAGGAGAAAAACTGCAGACAGACCAGGCCGAAGCCTCAAGGCCACAGTAAGCCAGTTGAAAAAAAATGTATTGTTGTTCGTGTGTTTGCTTAATCCTCCCCAAGAAACATGCCCTATTTATGTGCATAAATGTCTGGTATTACACTCTGAAACTGCTATTTGGCTAGCTTTGTCTCAACTGTGTTAGAACTAGCGTGTGCCTTTCTGGATAATGATGCTACAATTAGAATCTTGGCAGAATCCCTGTGTAGTGCAAACAGAAAATCCAACATGCAAATGCAAAGCTAATCATTAGACAATAAAACGTTTATAAGTCATTTCTAAGTAAAGCATATTTTATCATCATGTGTTATTTGAAAGGTAATACATAATTGTATTTCAGTTGCACGAATTATATTCTAATACCCTTTTATTTTTGTTTGTTGTATCTCTTGGTGATATAACAGTAGATACCATGATTCTGCACAATGACTTGGAATACTTACTGAGCAAGCTAGAGAAACAGTTAATGACTACCACACAATAATCAGAGTATAAAGCTGCTTTTTGTTGGCAGTTTGATGTTTCAGACTCTGGCAATGAGTTAATTAAATTAGTAAGATGTTCTCTTTAACTCATTCAAACTTGGGGAAGCATCATGGACTCTAGTGGAAATAACCAGGCTGGCCTGAGGAATTCAGATGCGATTTGCTGGGCCTTTATTTGTACGTTACCTTTAGAAAACATTTCTTTTTCTTCTAGTTAATCTTTATTCTAAATGTCCTGTAAGATTTAGGATTTTGCCTTATGATAACACCAATATGTGACCTGTTCATTCAGGAAACCTCTGCTGATATCCCAGTTAGGCACTGAAGATGAATCAGAAATTTTCACTTTCCTTGGAGCAGGCAGGATAGGGAGATGCAGAGGGTTATGTGTTAACAGCAGAGAGGTGCACAGAACAATAGGGGGCTGAAAAGAAGCAAATCGAAGCTTCTCACCCTGACCTAAAAGCCCTGCAGGCCTGCCTTTGACCAATCTCTCATTACCTCTGGGACCTTGCTTTCTCCTTTTGTTCCCCCAATCTTTTGCTATTTATCCACCCTGGACTTCATGCAGTCCCTAAACACGTACCCACCTGTTCTCCATGTCACATTTGCTTTCCCCTCTGCTTGTAATCATCTTCGCTCTTATCTTTATATGGCTGTTGTGTTGGCATTGAGAAAGCCAACTTAACCATCACTGAGAATAGTCCTTCCCGTTAACCCAGTGGGAGGTTTCGGGCTCACCACTTTTTAACTTTTGGACTGCGTTTTTATCTGTTTATTTTGCAGTGTGTTTGCTCCTGAGAAAATGACAAAACATCCCATTTAGTCTTATATCTGAGTACTTAGTAGGCACTCATGTGGAATTAGTCACAGTACATATTTGGGGGGTAATAGATACGTATATTCACAGAACTGTGTAATCATCACCACCATCCATTTTAGAATATACTCATCATTTCAAAAAGAAACTGTACCCTTTAGCTGTCAATCCCCCAACCACTCTAGCCTTAAGCAACCACCAATTTACTGCCTGTCTCTTATAGATTTATCTATTCTGGACATTTAATATAAATAGAATTATATACAGTCATGTGTTAGCATCAGGGATACATTATGAGAAACATGTCATTAGGTGATTTTGTTGAACATCATAGAGTATACTTACATAAATTGATATAAATATTTTTCCTTATATATATTTTTTATATGGAAAGCTAAATGTCCCAGCTCCATTACATTTTCCCGGCCCGATGTGCAATGCCAGTATCAAGTGCCATATATCAAGTTTATTCAAGTCCTTTGCCCATTTTTTTAAATTGAGCTGTTTGTCAAGTTTTAAGAGTTCCTCTGTTTTGGATACTAGGCCCTTATCATATATGTGATGTGCAAATCTTTTTCCTCTGTGAATTTTTTCACTTTCTTGATTTGTATTTTGAAACACATTTTGATGAAGTCCAATTTATTTTTTCTTTGTTGTTTGTACTTTTGTTTTCACTGCTAAGAATTCATTGCCAAAACTAAGATCACTAAGATTTAGCTCTATGTTTTCTCCTAAGACTTTCATGGTTTTAATCCTTATATTCAGGTCACTGATCCATTTTAAGTTGATTTTTGTATGTGATGTAAGAGTCCAGTTTCCTTCTTTTACATGTGACTGTTCAATTGTCCCAACACCATTTGTTGAAGAAGCTATTCTTTCTTTATTAAATGTTCTTTGCATCCTTTTTGAAAATCAGTTGATCATAGATACATGAATTTGTTTCTGGACCCTCAGTTATGTTTTACCAATCACTATATCTGTTCTTACGCCAGCACCACACTGTCTTGATTACCATTGCTTTGCAGTAAGTTTTGAAATCAGGGGTGCAAGGCCTTCACCTCTGTTATTTTTCAAGATTGTTTTGGCAATTCTGAATTTTGATATGAATTTTCAGAACAGTTTATCAGTTTTCATGAAGATTCTGCAGAGATCACCAGCTGAGATTCCAGTAGGGATTATGTTGTAGCTGTTGGTCAATTTGGAGCACACTCGCATCTTAACAAGATTAAGTCTTCTGATCCGCAGACATGGGATATCTTTCTGTATATTTAGACCTTCAGTTTCCCTTTCAACAGTGTCTTGTAGTTTTCAAAGTAAAAGTTTTATTTTTTGGTTACAACTATTTTTATTGTTTTATTCTTTTTTATTCTATTGAGAGTGGAATTGTTTTCTTAATTTTATTTTTAAATCATTCATTAGAAGTTATTAGAAATACTATTTTTGTATATAGATTTTATATGCATCAATCAACCTTACTGAGCTTGCTTATTAACTCAAATTTTTAATGGATTATGTAGATTTTTCTATGTATAAGACCACGTCATCTGCAAATACTTGTAGTTTAAATTCTTCCTGTCTAATTTAGATTTACATTATTTAATTTGTTTGACCAGTTGAATAGAAGGGGTAAGACAAGGCATGTTGGTGTTGTTCCTGATCATAGGGAGAAAGCATATAATCCTTTATAATTACATGCGATTTTAGCTCTGGAGTTTTCATAGAAACACTTAGCAGTTTAAGGAAATTCCTTTCTATTCCTAGTTTTTTGACCGTTTTAATAATGAAAGAGTATTTGGTTTTGTCAAATGCTTTTCCTGCAACTATTGAGATGATCATGTGGATTTTGTCTTTTATTCTGTTGATATAATGTAATATATTATTTGATTTTCAGGTATTAAATGAACCTTGCATTCCTTGCACAATTCCCACTTCTTCATAATACAGGATTTTTTGAATTTGTTACTGGATTTGGTTTTCTAGTGCTTTGTTGAAGATTTTTGCCTCTATATTCATAAGAGATATTATCCTTGTAATTTTCTGTGTGATGTCTCTGATTTTGTTATCAGGGTAATTGTGACCTTGTAGAATGAGTTTTTAAGTGGTCCCTTCAATTTTTTTGGAAAATATGAAGAATTTGTATTTTTTAAAGCATTTGGTAGAATTCATTAGTAGAGCTATCTGGGCCTAAGCTTTTCCTTGGGAGTGATTCTCTGATGACTAATTTGGTCTCATGTTATAGATCTATTCATTGTCTTTCTTCTTGAGTCAGTTTCACCATTTTGTGTTTATTTATTAGGTTGGTACAAAAGTTATTGCAGTTTTTGCCTTTAAATGTTAATGCCATTAATTTTTCAATTCATCTGTGTTATCTAATTTTTCTCACTCATTTGATCATAGTTTTAGTAATTATTTTTAGTTTCTATAAGGTCAGTAATAATGTCCTCTCTTCCGTTTCTGATTCTACTAATTTGAATATCCTTTCTTCTTTCTTAGCCCAACTAACTAAAAGTTTGTCCATTAAAAAACTATTTTAAATGACGTTTCTGGGATGATTTCCTGGACTCTCTTCTATTTTTCTATTCTCTGTTTTATTAATTTTCATTCTGCATTATTTACTTCCCCTTTTTAGGTTTAGTTTGCTTGTATTTTCACAGTATGTTAGGTGAAAAGTTAGGCTTTGGATTTGAGATCTTTCTTTTTTCTTAATATAGGCAATTGCAGCTATAAATTTCCCTCTAAGCACTGCTTCAGCTGAATTCATAAGTAATGATATGATCCCTCTTCATGTTCATTCATCAAGGTGCTTTTGATCAGTAAAATATTTTGTTTCTGTAGTAAATAGAGTCAATGGAAGAAGGTTCTTAGCTGCGGGAAATACAAACCCCAGGTCCTACCATATCACTTCAGTGGCTGAGGGAATTGAAGTCCGATCAGTCTGAAACCCACTGGAAGAACACTAGTGTCCCACCACTTGTTGGGAAGCTCTTTCATGGTCCTTAGATTATTTTGTTTAATCTACTCTACTGATAAACGAGGTTTCGAAGGAGTGCAACTTCTCTAATAATCACAATGCCAAGGTTTTTTCCCCCATGTAATCTTCTCTGTTTTATTTAGGCACAGAATAAAATCCATGTATTGCAGGTTAGATGATTTTTAGTAAATTTATACATTTGTGCAGCTGTCATCAAAATTCAATTTTTAAACATATCACTTCAGAAAGTTCTGTCATGGCCATTTGCAGTCTATTCCTGCTCCCACTCTCAGTTTCAGGAAACCACTGAACTATTTTCAGGCTCTGCAATTTTACTTTTCCTGGATAGTTTATATAAATAGAATCATGCAATATGTAGTTTTTGTATCTGGATTTTTTTTTTTTTTTTTTTGCTTAGTGTACTTTCTACAAAATCTTACATTTAATTGATACTTAAATATTTGGTTCATGAGATCAATTAACTTTTATCTGAAAGGTTATGTTATTTTAACACTTTTTTTAAACAAGTTTCATGGGATGTTATTTAATTTTCAGTATGTTCATAATGTATGTGAAAGGGCTTACGATAATGGGGAATGTGTACATGAACAATGTAAGTGAATTAAAATATTTAGAAATCTGAGAGGAAGTATTATAATAAGCCCCCAGTGGTCTTCTATTACTCTTTTGATTAAAATAACCTTTCTGTGTTTTCCCATGAACACTGA